GGTGGCCGGCTGCGTGCCCCCACCTCCCTCCCACCTGTGCTGTTTGTCCCCGTGGGTGCTGCAGTGTGACCTGCCTCCCCTTCCCGCACCCACTCCCATGCTGGCACGCGTGTTCAGCCCCACACGTGTGACTTGGCGTGTTCCCATAGCCAGGAGTAGGCATCCGTCCCTTCCTTCTCCCCCAGCGCCCCCATTGCACCCCTGACCCCTGCGCCCTGAATCCCTCGCCTGGGGCAGGGAGCGATGACCAAGTCCCCTTCGGGGTCCCTGCCTTTCTCCGCAGGTTCCTCCTGCGTGACAGAGACGCTGCTCTCCAGGAAGAGTTTCTCCCTTGCCCTCCTCTCTATTCATTTTTTTCCTTTTTCCTCGGCGTTTTTCCCTCTCTGAGGGTGAGGGGGTGTCAGGCTCCTGGGTGCTGAACAGGCTCTGCTTTGCTGATGATGTTTCCCTGAGCGGGAACTGCTGCGCAGCTCTGCTCCCCAGTGCCTGGGGACAACCCAAGGGGAGCAGGAGCTCTGGGTGGGACCTTTCTGCTCCGGGCTGGGGGCTCTCCCACCAGCTCCCAGGGAAGAGGAGCAGTCCTAACCCTCCCCAGAGGCCCCAGGATCCTCTTTGGATAGCTCTCCTTGGCTGATTTTTTCAGCCACTCCAAGATTTACTCCTGCAAGGTTTTGGAGAGCCAAGCTGCTCTCCTGCTGCCGTGCTCGGGTCTGGCCGCCTGATGGAGACCTTCATCCCCAGCAGCTCTTCTCCATCACCCGGCTGCCTCTCCAGAAATGCCTTCTGCTCTCCTCACACCCGCTCCAGCTCTACCTACAGATATTTAGTTTCTGCATCCCAGCAAGGGACTGCCCCAGGATGGGTGCTTGAGGTCTGATGCCAGACCCCAAAGGCACAGGACCAGCAGCTGCTCCATGGGGCTCGAAGAGGACCAGTGTGTCCCTGGGGGGCTGCAGCAGGTGTGTCCCCCTGCCAGGGGATGGGGCTGGCATGGGCCTCAGGGAGCTTGCAGCAGTGCCTCGCACGCTGAACCAGCGGGGCTGCAAATTACATATTGCAGAGATCCCAAAATTACTGGGACAGTTTCACACGCAAGCTGGGGTCTGGGGGATGCTCAGTTGCTGTCCTCTGGGAAGCTGAATTTGGGGTTATTTTTAGATGAAGATTATAAATAATGTGGTAAGGAAAGCTGATTTACATTTTGGGTTGTGTTTGCAAACGTGCCCTGTCTCTGCGGGCCCCAGTGCTCACTCCTGCAGCCACATGAGACTGCTTTTGGCTGGGACAAAGTGTACCCAGGACCACCTTCTCCCTGACACCAGGGTCTGTGGGCAGGGAGCCTCCTGTGGACGTGGCCATGGATACTTGGGAACCTCCAGCAGGTGCCATGCAGCTCCCTGGGGACATCATGTGCTGGCTCTGGGTGGGGAGAAACCTCTGCAAAACCACATGTTCCTGGACCTCTGGAAGGACAAAGGATGTGATTGCCTGGCATGAGATAGAGCCGCTGGTTCAGGGCACCCTTTCCCCAGCATGAGGTGTCCAGGGCACCCCTCAGCTCTCCCACCAGTTTGCTGAGATGTCCATCCCCTTTCCTGCTTCTTCCCTTCCTTCTCCCTTTGGGGCTGAAGAGCCTCCCAGGTACCCCCAATCCTGTGTGTCCCATCCTGTCCTCATCCCATCTGCATCCTCATCCTTGGGTTTGACCGGCTCTTGAAGGGTCGCTGGGAAGGAGGGAAGTGCTCAGCCTGTCCCTGCAGACACATCTCCTGGGTGCAGCATCAGGGCTGGGCAGGGAGCTCCAACACCTGAGCATCTCACAAGCTGCAGTAACCCCTTGGCAGCCAGAGTGCACAGGCACTCCCGAGGGGCTCAAACTGTGTGAGAGCACAGGATTTTGGCACAAGGTTCAAATACAGCAGGACTGGCAACAGCGATGAAGGAGAACTGCTGTCCTTGGCCTGGAGGCTCTGCACAATCCAAGCACCCAGAGATGCTCCTGCCTACTTTTCCTCTTTTTGTTTCCAGGGACTAAGACTTTTCTTCAAGTGTTTCTTTGTGTAAAAATTCCGAATGCAACTTTTTTTAATTAAAAAAGAAGAACGTAGACCCAATGCTATGGCTAGGCTGACTGCACGAACTCAGCCCAGCAGATCAGAAACTGGAAATGAGGCAAGACCAGACAGACCTTTCCATGGTGATATTAGTAAAAGTGAAGGGAGAAAAATCAAACATGTTTTCATGGAAATTTCCATTTTTGAAGGGGGGGGGAAAGAAGGACTAAACTTGGATGCATTTATATAAATATGGAAATGAAAGCCGTTTCCCGAGCCTTGTCACCACCCCGCGGCCAGCCCCGCTCTCTCGCTCCCTCCAGCACTGGCTCCCAATTGCCGTGATTCATGCCTGAGCCCCCTGCAGCCGTCACCCCCTGCCCCTTTCTGGCCCAGCCTGCAGCAGCCTCCTCTTCTTTGGCAAAGCGTGTCTTTATATTCAGCAACCCGTTGGCTTTGCCAAAGCTGCGGCCGTGCTGCCGACAGGCACAGCGGTGCCAGGGGACCAGGCTGGCGGGTTGAGGTAGTTGGAGGATGTGCAGCATCCTCCTGGGGCTCGCTTCAGCTGGGACTGGTCCCCATGGAGCAAAGGGAGCTCGGGGATGGAGATGGGGATGAAACCCGTCCTTGATGCCACTGCAGGGGACGTGCCCACAGGGATGCAGGAGGCTGACGGGACGGGGCGGTGATGGGCGTGCACGGAGCAGCTGGGACCGGCGCGCACACTGCCACGCTCTGGCTTTGCAAACTCCTTCCCATCTCTATTCTGCCTTGCTGTCAGCTTGCTTTTTTTTTTTTTTCTGCTTTGTTTCTATAGAAAATCCCAATTCCCCCAAATAATCCAGCTAAGAGTAAGAAAAAAAAAAAATACAAACGTGTCATTGCATTCTCTTCCCGTCCCCGTCCCTCTCTCACACACGGGGCTTGAAAGCACACTGAAAGGTATTCAGCGTGCACGCTGCCAATTGTCACATCTTTCAATGACAGATTTTAAA